CTGAGAGAGAGAGAGAGAGAGAGAGAGAGAGAGAGAGAGAGAGACATACTGAAGACCTAAGGACTAAAAAGAAAAAGAAATTCAGAAATGAATGTTTAAGGTAAAGGCTACTGTTTAGAGAATAATTAGCCTAACATTTCCCTATATTTCAGAGCCATACTGATTGACTTTCAAGATTCAGAGGTTCTCTGAAATAAAATAGTAAAGTGAAATGGCATTTTTGCGGCTAATATCAAATAGAGTCACTATAGTAACACCCTTAATTACTTTCTCAGGCAGGAGAGGGAATGGCAAAAGTCTCATCTCGATGCTAGTCCGTACCTTGGAATCCATTTTATGACAGCAAGTTGTCAAAGAAAAAAACAACAACAGATGGCCACAGAAAGACTAGCAAAAAATAATAAAATGAAAAATATAAACACGTGGAAGCTGAAAACGGGGGAATATGTCAGACTGCATTATGTGCAGGAACTTTTTATCCCACGATGGGAGAGACAAGGTCAGAGACAAATGGCTGCCAGAATATCAGCAGCACGGATGGAGAAACACTGCAGCCTAGTGGAGTCACAGAATATGTCAACATGGCATATTTAATGACATACGTTTTAACTGTAAAATTTAATGATTACATTTCAACCCCATTTGCCCTTTTAAATTCATGTAATAGATACAGATTCTGTTTACGTAAATACTTCAAAAATATATATCAATAAACTATCATTTAAAAAACAAAAAATATCAATAAAACTAAACCTTTTTCCACAAAACAACATTAAGTGCACAACTGTTTTCAACACTGAAAAAATAAGCATATTACAATGATTTCTGATTCTGAACAATCATGTGACAATGAAGACTGAAGTAATGGCTGCTGAAATTCATATTTCCACAACACAAATTATGGTTGACCTCTTTTGCCATTTAGCAGCCATATCACCCTGTAACCCAAGACTATTCGCCCACTGAAGCTAAGCAGAGTTGGTCAGAGCCTGGTCAGTAGGCCTACCTGGATGGGAGACCTAGAGTCCAGCATTTCAGCCCGGCCCAACGGGCCCCGACTTTTTTACGCCCCTCGAGCCGGGCTTCGGACCAATTTTCACGTCATAGTTCAGACGCGGGCCGGCCATCAGGCCTGTTTTAGGCTTCTCCTTATTTTTTATATTTTAGACATCCATCAGTGATGAAAAAAATAGGTGGAAACAACACGAGACCGTGCTGCCACGACTGTCAAGAGTGTGGTGTTTATAGTGACATTAGTGACGATGGTGTTTAGTGTCCGCCAGCAGCAGCAGCAGCAGCAGCGAGCACAAGTGCCTTCAGCGCAGCGGGAAGAGTTCCGCGTTCAAGGCTAAAGCTTGCGGCAAAGCAGCAGCAAAAGTAATTACCATGAATGTGTCAGGAGAAATAGATAGGAGATATTTGAATTATTTACTGAACTAGTGTATTCTGAGTCCATGTTGCAAGAATGAAGTTGCTTATCCTGACTTACCGTCTCCTCATTAGACGCACCTTTAGAGAGAAGTGCATCTTTATGGATCATGATTATAATTGAAAGAGTTTTTGTTTTCGTTTGGTTTTATTTCGTTAAGTAGTCATTTAAAGCTTTCTAGATATATTTATCATGACTGTGAGGCATGTATTCGCTGAGTTTTGGTTCATTTTTGTGAAGCTCTCCTGTTCAAGACCGAGACGGCAGAAAGCGCATCATGTTTGTTTTCTTTATTTTTTAACAGCACAAGGTTTTGTTGATATTGTGAGTGCACGCAAATAAAAGTAGACCCTTTACAGTTCCGAATGATGTATTACTCTTACCTTCATGGGCAAAAATGAAGGCAAATTTTAAGTTGTTTCTACTAAAAAAAAAAAATGCAAGTGATCGCGCTGGCGCCTCCATGCCCTGCAAAGCGCTTTAGCTTCCACTCTCCACACAAACTATTGGATATAGCGCACATTTATCTAGGTTTAACGTTTAAACATTGTTATATGCTTGAACTGTTTTATATCTATAGATTTTATTTTAGGCAAGTCGTGATGATTTGAGAAGGCTAAATTGATCAAACATAGGCTATGATCAGCTTACTGTCTGCCGCTGGCCGCTTGGACGTTATACTTTAAAAATCAAAAACTTATATTTAACTAACAAAAAATGCTCCAAACATTTTTCTAAATGAACTTAATAAAAAAACTAAACGAAATATAATCACTTGCCATACAAAACTGAACTATTTTAATAGCTGAAACAGTTGTATAAGCTGCTTTGGGAGAAGGGGGAAAAAAGAGGGGCTCGGGTTGGACTCGAGCCGGTAATTCTGATAAGCTGTTGGACAAGGGCTGGGCTAGGGCCTGAGCTCAAATTTGAGGCCCGTGCAGGGCTCTAAGGAGACCTCCTGGGAAAACTAAGTTGCTGCTGGAAGAGCTGTTAGTGAGGCCAGCAGGGGGTGCTCACCCTGCGGTCTGTGTGGGGCTTAATGCCCCAGTATAGCGATGGGGACATTATACTGTCAAAAAGCACTGTCCTTCAGATGAGACGTTAAACTGAGGTCCAAAATATATTTGTCTACAAAGCTAGACTACATAAAAATGTGAAAAATAAATTCCAACTGTTTCTATGTTTATGACCTGCAAGCTATTATAATTGTACCCTAGGGCAATTTGAGCAAATTGTTTGTTTTTTTTCTCACAAGAACAGTCCCTGAAATAAGTGTCTTAGAAAGTCTGCATCTGCTTAACCCCTTCCCTCAGAACGTAACGTCCTCCTACAATCACCTTTACAATAAAAAACGTTTTATATCGTCAATATAATACACTATAAAAGTATGCATGTATTGTTATAGTGCATTGGTATGTTTAACAACAACAACAAAAATCATGCCCAAGCTTTTTTGTCCTGAAGTATCTTTATTTTTTGTTCTTTAATAAATTTCCTTTAGGTTTTAGCAATAAGGATTTCACATGCTGTTCTTTCTCTTTCTCCTCTTCCTTCTTCTCCTGCCATTGCTTCATCCCTTCATCCACCTCTGCACTGAGATACACTGCTCTTCTCTAAATGTGCACACAAATATAAACATTTAAAACATTTCAAGTTTTTCTTTAAATGAAATAAGCAGGAACAAAACAACAATCCAAAAACATAAAGAGTCTTACAGCAAACTCCTCTCTTTGCTTTTGTCTGCGGATCTGCCCCTTCAATGGAGGTGCAGGCCTTCCATCTGAAAATCACATAATAATTTATACAAATCCTTGTCAGCGTTTATATTCTCATTCACAGATTTACGGTTGACAGTTTTTTGACAAATATCGTGACACATACAAAAGAACTGACAACAAAACCACACCCCATTGTTGCCTTTGGCTTTTAACAAAATATAAAATAATTTTCACCTGCATATGACCAGTCAGGCAGATCTGTTAATGGCCCATATTCTGATCCACTACGTGCTAAACCATTTCTGCAGACAAACAGGGAGCATGACAATGAAGCATGTAACAAAACAAAACACTGACATCAAGATTAACCATTGCTAATAAAATGTAATGTACACAAACAATCTGATTTAATCAGTTTTTTTCAGTTAGTATTTATTATTCAAAACTGTATCAAGGTTTATTTAAACTGGATTTTAAAAATATTTCTCCTTTGTATCATCACCAACATCCATATTTATCATCATCTCAATTTAGGGTGACCAGACGTCCCCGTTTACGGAAGACAGCAATGGTTTTTGGTTGTCCCTGTTTTACAGCAGATTAAAAACTACTCACAAATACACTGTAAATATAGACTGCTGACAATCGTGCAGTGATGTTACATACTAACTATACATGTGTTAGTTAGTCCACGGAGCATAAGTAACCCAGTGGCTGAGGAGGGTAGTTTGAGCACAACATCTGAGAACCTGGAACCCAACCAGATGCAGCTTGCTATGGAGAAGAATATCCAAGGCTACAGACCTCAAGTGAAGTGGCCAAAGTCTGGAAGCAAGAAAGAGTGGACAACAGTCAACGCAGACCTGAGTAAGATCCTGAATGAACTCAGAGGAACAGCAGAGAAGAAGCTGGATAAAATGAGCGATCTGGTGTACTTATACGGGGTGGAAAGATTCGGAGCAAAAGAGAGAGGAAAGAAAAAAACAACAACCCCTCCCAAGTCAAGAAGGCAGCAAGAAATCATGCGCCTGGTCAAAAAGAGAAGGGATTTGAGAAAACAGTGGAAGAAATCCTCACCAGAAGAGTGAGCTGGCATAAACCTTCTGCAAGCAGATCTAAAGGAACACCTGGGAAGACTGCGGAGAGCAGAAAACATCAGAACACGATGCAAGAAGAAGGAGAGGACAAGAACATCCTTCTACAAAGATCCTTTCAGATTTGTGAAAGCTCTCTTTACAAAGGAAAAGAGTGGGTCACTTAAAGTATCAAAGAAGGAGCTGGAGGACCACCTGAAAGCAACACACACAGACAGCCAGAGATATGAGCAGAGGGTGATACCACCAGACATGCCACCCATTCCTCAGCCAGAACATCAATTGGATGACAGCCCTCCAAGGTGGAGCGAGGTTGAGAAAACTGTGAGAAAACCAAGGGCAGCTTCAGCTCCTGGATCAAACGGAGTTCCATACCGGCTGTACAAGAATGCTCCAGAGGTTCTTCGGTTCCCGTGGAGGCAAATGAAAGTGGTTTGGAAAAAGCAAACCATCCCAAAAACATGGCGAAGAGCAGGGGGAGTGCTAATCCCAAAGGAAAAGGATGCCTCGAACATCAACCAATTTCGACAGATCAATCTCTTGAATGTTGAAGGAAAGATCTTCTTTAGCATTGTTCCTCAAAGGATGACAACATACCTGAAACAAAACAAATTGATTGATACGTCGATACAGAAAGCTGGTATACCAGGCTTCTCGGGATGCTTAGAACATACTAGTATGATATGGGTAGTAGGAGGAGAACGTCTGCAGTCTGGACAGCATCTTCCTCCTATTCGTGCATACATGGATGACATGGCCACCCTGACCTCAACCATTGCATGTACCAAACGTCTACTGGCAAAGCTTCATGCCAACATAACATGGGCGCGTATGAAGTTAAAACCCAGTAAATCTAGAAGCATATCCATTGTCAGAGGGAAACTCGTAGACCAGAGATTCCACATCGATGAAACACCCATTCCAATGGTGCAGGAGATGTCAAGAGCTTCGGGCAATAGTACAATGCAAGCTTCAAGGACTCAGATCAGAGTGACCAACTGAGGGAAGAAACCATAGGGCCTTTCGCACCGCTTTAGTTCCAGAACTAAATGTACAGTACTAAGGTACTGGGACGATTTTGTGCGAACTATTTCCCAGTACCATTTAAAGGGTTGCATTCACACCGACAGTGTGTACTAGGAAGTAACGTAAGCCGGTCGACAGCGACGTCATTTGTGTGCAGCGTTCAACAACGGAAACAAAGAAGAACAACGTTAACAAAATTAGTTCTGGTACTATGAAAAGATTCCCGCGGTGCGAAAGGCCCTGATTAATGGCCTTGACAGTATAAAAAATACCTTGCTTCCTGGCAAGCTGAAACTATGGTGCCTGCAATTCGGATTGCTCCCTCGTCTAATGTGGCCTCTAACAGTCTACGAGGTCCCCATTACCAAAATCGAGAAGCTGGAGAGAACAGTCAGTTCTTATATCAAGAAGTGGCTTGGACTCCCGCGATGCCTCAGCAATATCGGCCTGTATGGGAAAAGTGCCCTGGAACTGCCTGTCTCTAGCCTCTTTGAAGAGTACAAGTGTACCAAAGTTAGGGCTGGTCCGAATACCATTTTTTGAGCTTCGAAGCTTCGGTAGTAAATCAACACTGAATATTCAAAGCTTCGGAGGAAGGGGGCTGAACATATTCTTCTCTCTAATAAAGGCAGGAACATCTGTGTGTTTGTCTGTCTGTTTGCATTTTTATTATGTCGAGAACCATTCATCCAATCGACTTCAGGCATGGCGGGTGTGTTGCTGCGGACCCAAGTGAGTGCAGTGTCGCATTTTAAACTTTTAATAAACTACAGAACAGCACGAGCCAGAAGTGGCGCGCCTCACGCGGGCAGGGCTTATATGCTCCGAGAACGGACACTGCACTAGTGATACAAAACACACAGGTCTGTTAAGAACAATACTTTTAATATAGACAAATTATTATTAGACTGGGCTACTGTAAGTTTTTTTATAACTACCGTATTTGCAAGTATTTCCCAAGCAAATTAAGTGCACGTTTTTATCATGTGAAAAATTACTGATTAACATGGTGGATAAAAGCAGCAATTTTTTACACCAACACTATACTATAGGCGTACTACTTACAGAACTCAGGTGATTTTTCAAACTTAATGTGCTGTTGTGGTAGGCCAGTTTCAAATCGCATATTTGGCACACTGTCTTTGTCTTGTCCTCACTCAATTTAAAGTGCTCCCACCCAGCTGAGGTCTTGCATTTTTTTTTTCTCTTCCAGATGAACTGAATCATGACGTTCACTCATGGGCGATTCATATTCAATCGTGAATGAGAACCGTTTCGCGGGGGATGCCAGGTGTTCGAAAAAAAAAAAAGAGAAAATTCGAAGCTCAAAATTGAAAATCGAATGCATTGAAAATCAAATGCCAACCCACCGAACCCTAACCAAAGTGAAACTGAACATGACCCTGACCGAGTCTCAAGATGCTATAATATAAGCTGCTACTCCCAGATTGGCAACTGAGAGCAAGTGGGCCACGACTGAGGCCATACAGCAGGCAAAATCGGCTCTCAGGCATAGAGACATTGTAGGGCGGGTGCAGCAGGGAAGAGGGGGTTTTGGACTTGTGACAAGCAGACCCATATGGTACAAAGCAACATCCGCCCAGAGGAGTAAACTGATAGTAGCCGAGGTCCGGCAGCAAGAGGCAGAGAGATGAACAAAGGCTGTCTCGCAGTCCAAACAGGGACAGTGGATTAATTGGGAAAATCTGGAGCAACGTAAACTCACCTGGAAAGATCTTTGGGAGATGGAAGAAGCAGATTGAGCTTCATCATCAGAGCCACCTACGATGTTCTCCCCACACCCAAGAACCTAAACCAATGGATTGGAGAAGATCCATCATGTCCTCTCTGTCAAACCCCAGCAACGCTAAGACATATCCTCGTCGGCTGCAAAACCAGTCTTTCCCAAGGATGTTACACCTGGAGGCAGAATCAGGTTCTGAGACAACTGGCGATTATCCTGGAGGGAAGGAGAATCACCACCAATGCCCTCCCTCCTCCAACGCCTGGATTCTCAAAAGCCGCCACCTTCATAAGAGCAGGACAGCTTCCAGTAAAGCCAACTATAAAAATGGAAACAACCCTGCTGGACACTGCCCGGGACTGGAAAACGCAGGTTGATCTGGACCAGAAGCTCAGCTTTCCACCTGAGATAATTACAACTAACCTCAGGCCAGACCTAATACAGTGGTCAACCTCACAAAAGTCCTTGTTCATCGTGGAACTAATTGTGCCATGGGAGGCTGCAATTGGTGAAGGAAATTAATGTAAAAGGCTGAAGTATTTAGACCTATTAACCGAAGCAGTACAACGGGGCTGGCGAACACAATTGCTCCCCGTAGAGGTTGGGTGAAGAGGTTTTGTAGACACGGCAACAACCAGGCTACTGAAGGGGTTGGGAGTCAGAGGACAGGCCTTACGTCAAGCCATTAGGTCGCTGTCAGAGGCTGCTGAGCAAAGCAGCAACTGGCTGTGGCTAAAAAGGAAGGATCCCAAATGGGCTGCAAAATGACCTAGAAGAGTAGTACTTGGAGGTGTCGTGGGCCTATCAACGAAACACAGAGGAAGGAGGCTGCACACCTGATGACCCCAATGAAGTGATTACCCTTACTCTCCACTCAAGATGTCAACAAAGTGCCGATTATTCTAAGGGATTGTACTATCAAGTCCTACACGCTCAACTGTTAAATTAAAGTAATACTGTTTGTGTGTACTATATAACAAGGGATGAAAGAATGCGAGATTGTTTTGCACACAATATTAAATGTTCCTGAAACCTCCGCTGCCACAACTCCAATTTGAATGATCAAATAAAAAATGTATAAAAAAAATAATACAATTTGTAACTAAACAATTACACTTGCAGAGTAATATTTGCATAAGACACATACTTTGTGCTCAAAAGTAGCCTAAAATGCAAAATAATAAGCCTAATTAGGGCTAGTAAAGATCCATTTCCAAAAGCATAAAGATAAAATAACTGTAACTGTATACTTACAGTTTGTGAAAATAAAAATGTTAGAAATGTTCTGTTATAAAAGGTAAAACTATTTGTAAAACAGTTTTATTTACCATATGTTCTCATTTTTATTGTTTTATTTTTGTAGTGTCATAATTTTGTTATAAAACTGCTTTGATCTGTTTGATATTTGCAATAGTTACTATTTACTATTTTTATTGTCTGATTTTTGGTGAATTGTAGCAACAACCAAAAAAACTAGTGTCAGTTTGATCCTCAAACATCATTACAGTTAATTATAATATTATTATATGGAACCCACGGTAATTCAAAAACAACAAAATATATATATATTGTCCCAGTTTTTTAATTTGTAGATAATCACAAGTGAGATCTCAGTGATATTTTAACCACACACTAGGAAATGACCCTGGTTTTAATTTTAAAAAATCTGGTCACCTTAACCCAAATACATTTTTTAAGTACAATTTGTTAATGTCAAACTGCAGAGGAAACTCACTCCAGTCTCCACTTCTTTCCCGCGAGGGTCACACACGACGATGAAAATGGGCGTATAGACTGCCTCGACACTGGAAATGATAAGTGAAAACAAAAATTACCCATTAGGAAAAACGTACTGTTCACTCATCAGCTGTTACTTTGTGACAGAGTACTAACACCATAGACATTCATTAGCACGCTGGCTAATGGCTTGCTTTTACAAGAATAACGTTTAGATGTATTCCTGAGCTCAATAACACAACGTCTGTTTTCCAACAAAGGTTCACAAAACAAATATTCTGCTAAATATTGACTAACACACTGCCTCACCTGCGGTACAAAACGTCCTCAAGGATGCTGCCATTTTGGACTATAGCAACTACGGCAAGCAAGAGGTACAAAAAGAGACTCTGCATTGGAGTACGGCGGCGTGACTTATTTCTACCAGTAGATGATGCTGTAGTCACATTAAATACAACACAGACTCGCCTGATTCACCTGTTGAATAAACTACACTTAGTTTATTTTCAGCCTTTCTAATCACTTGATCGGAGGACAAAAGATAACCAAAAATAAAACATGCGTGTTAGAACGTGTAAACTGAGGATTCTTGTGGCTGCCAGTGGTGGTTTTATGTATACAAATGTTTCCTTGTGGTGTTTGGAATAGAACGTTGAATGGACTTTCGAATCATTTATTTAAAAACTGACTTGAGTGACTGACTGACATGTTCTCATTCATTTTGTAGTCTTAAGGTGAGAAAAGCTCTTGTAAAAACACGACACAGAGGCGTCTCAGTCTGAAGACCGGCCCTTAACACCTTCCGCTTCGATAATAAATGGATCCCTTCATTCCTCCTGTGTACGGGCTCGAGCAGTGCTGAGTAAGCGCTGAAACATTCCCGCGTGCGCTCCAGGACAAGTCCCCACTCGCTTGCGCGCGCTCCCACAAAACCGCAGGAGAAGCTGCAGACGAGACCAGAAGGGGAGGAGGGAGCTCTGGGGTAGGGGAAAAAACAGGTTTTAGACAAAAGAACAGCATTGGGTCGTTTTAGGGTCTCGGTGGGGTTGAATACAGTAACCATACGACAGCAGGTCAGTTGTCACCGGAATTTATGCCACTCGGTAACTATGGAACAGTGAGAGGCATTTTCCGCGAGGGAAGAAACGAAAAAACAGTTACATTGTTGCACTCGCGAAAAGCACACACGCAGCCGACTCACGCTGTCCCAGTGAACTTAGCGATATCCCTCCGCACATTCCACAGACGAAAGGCACGGCACGGCACGACCAATTAGGCCTTAGGGTTGGAAAAACGACACAGAAAATATGTAAGGTCTTCGAACCATTTGCATGTTTACAGGTTTCCGTTTATTTAAACGCTTTTTTTTTTTAAAGTCGAATTAAATCGATTTTCGTCACGTGTTGCCACATTACGTGCAATAAAACACAAGGTGTTATAAACAAAAGAAAAATTACTGATTCATTTGATTCATGACTGCATTCTACTTTCTTTTGAGTTTATTGTCTTATTTACAGACAGTTGACTCGTATATATTTATGAATCAAACCACTCATTCGAAACCCCCAGACTAACAAAAAGGTGTATTTGTCGTTTTATTTTGGTCATTTGATAAATGTGTGCGATTATGTCAAGGTTGTTTGTGTAAGTCCAAACAAGAAGTTGGGCTGTGTGACGAAATAGTGGGATGCTATTCATGCGCGCTGCCCGGGGGAAAGGTGTTCCGGTCGGGGAAAAAGCCACAGAGGAAGAAGAAAGGGGGAGGAAGGGAAAAAATTTGGAAAGAAAGAAACTGTACGTTGAACATTTTAGCGCAGTTTTCCGGCGTGGATTGCGCAGTGCGTGTTTATCTCTGCGAATATGTTTGGGTGAGCGACTCGCTGCAGCTGGTTTTTTATAGTTACACGCTTTTGAAGACTTCCACTTCTGGGGAATAATGGTAATTTTCTTTCAAACTGGACTGGGCAAAGTGGAAATCCTGCGGGACAACAGGAGGCTTTGATCTGCCTTGTACCTGTTTTGCTGAGGAATAAACGCTTTTGGGTTCTCGGATACGGACGGCTCATTTATCCGCACAGAGAAACGTTTTCAATTTGCTTTTTTGAAAGCCGCTAGTTGAGTCAGAAAGGGGCCGTGGTGTATCCCATAACCTGTGTGTTTAAACCCCGTTGGAATTTATTCAGTATTCAAACGCCGTTCTTATTTTTTAAACAACCGGCAGCGCCGTTTTGATAAATCCACAGAGACGAAGAACCAAGTGGTAATTATAAGACTTGCAAGTGGTTCCGACAACAGTGGATCAGTTGCGGATGTGACTGCGAGACTTCACCGTTTGAATGGATCGGTTCTGCGCGAGTCTGGGAGCGGAATTCAAGACTCTTTGAAACCTGACGGTAGTTTTCACACGTTCATTTGCTCACTGCCGAAGACAAGGCCACAAGTAGCTGCAAAAAGGATCGCAAACAAATGGATGAACAAGCTCCTGTTCACACGCATGTCCAGCAAATTCATCACAAGCAAACAGTTTGGAGACAAACCGTTTGTTTTCAAGTCTAACTAGTACGACATGTAGCCTGCAGAAAATGTCATAGTGTTTTTATTTATCTTCAAAGTCAAATATTTATTTTTGTAGAACATCAGAAAGTATTAGTTTTTAACAGTTCGTTTTTGTGTGTGTGTGTGTGTGTGGATTTGTTTTGTTTTTTTTAATTATTTTGTTATAACCTTTGGATGTCACGTATCTTTTGTTCTGTTATCTCATCTGCTGTTGAAACACTTGAATGATGCTTGTGCCCACACTGTATTTCACTGTATTTATGTAGTACACTATTTAAACTGTAGTTGTTTTCAGGTGGCATCTAAGATAAATTCAATTCGTACTTTATATTTTATATCATAGTTGAGCGTACATTAAAAACACAATGGAACGACTTGGCAGCAAACTCAAGCAAAAGCTCAAACTGAGTGACTCCGGAAGTGTCAAATTCAGCAAAAAGAAAAACGACTTGGCCAATGCAAATAACAACAGTAACAGCAACAATGCCAATAATGGGACCTTGGCGCAGATCAGCGCACCCGTGAGCACACCTCAGTTCCCGCTGTCCTGTTCCACCTCTGTAGAGGTGTGTGGCCAGTCAGCCGGAAGACCTGGCAAAGTGGCCGCTTCTCAGAGAATCGCAACTTCGAATACCACCTCGGCCATGGTACCTGAGGATTGCGGGCCTGGAATCGAACATCATCCGTCTACTCTCGCCCCTCTACGGCGTCGGTCGCCCCAGCAGCGAGCATCGTGCTACTTACCAGAAGCGGTGGAATGGGGCAACTCGCCCAGAAGTGAAGGTGACCCACAGGGGGCATACTGCCCGAATTCTCGCGCAGCCTTGAAGCAGCGGCGTTATTCTCTGGAGCTCCAGCAGCTCGTTCGCCGCCAGCAGCTTCTCGCCCAGCCTCCTCCGCTGTCGTCCGTTCCACCTCCGTACCCAACGCACAGCTCGGCTGCCCGCTCATCCACCGTGGAGCCCAGCTTCCTCCACGAATTAGAGCGCCATAAGCGCTTGTCTCTGCAGGAAGCTCTGTTCTACAAGCGTTTGAGCTCGGGTGGTGAACCTTGGGACAGCGGGCGACCTGCTTCCCTCTCGCACCCCCCGCAGAGGACCCATGACAGCGGCATAGGGGGGTTCATTTTCCCCCCTGCACCAGCGTTGAGCCCCTGCTCCTCTTTTAGCTTACAAGAGTCCGTGTTGGCAAGCCCTCGCTCCAGTTTTGCGAGCAGTACCGCTAGCGGCGGAGGCGGCGGGAGTCCCATGGGAAGTCGGTGCAGCAGTAACCGGACCAGCGGCATTAGTTTGGGCTACGACACCCGCCATACACCTGGGCCCACCCAGCAGCTCCAGCTCTCCTCGACCCAACTCGGTGGCACCACCTCGGGTCAGGCGTACCCCATACAGGCGTCCGGGAAAACAGGAGCGCCCCCTATGGAGGTTTGGAGAGACTGTCTCGAAGGGGTGTCGGGAGTTGGAGGAAGTGTGCACGACAGCCGTCACTCATATCCGCCCGCGCTAAGCACACATACTGTCACCTTCCACCGAGCAGAACCAGAATGGGGTCCCACTGACCAGCGGGGATCAAGAGGCGATGGTGTGGGCGAGAGGGCACGACACTCCGACTTGCTAGGAACCCGATACCAGCAGGAGCTCACCCGCCTGCTATTGAGAGATGCTGCCCTGGAAGGAGAAGCTTTACTTGGAGGCTTGACTTTAAAAGAACAGCCCGTGTCTGCCACCATCCTATCCAGTTCCATATCGACTTCAGCCCCAGTTGGAACTCCAGGGACATGCCTGGAAGAACAGTCGGCTGGAAGGGAGTCAATGTCATCTGTGGACAGACAGGAGTACTTCGGTGAGATCACTAACTAGTCCAATTTGGCTAGTTTGTTTATGACTAATGATGTGTTTCTCTCTGGCAGTAGGTTGTGAATGTGTGTGATGTGGTAAGATGAAGACTGCTTCGGACCTGCTAAAACATGCAAACGTTCTCGGAAGCAAAAAGCAAGACATGAAACGCATCCAGTCAGACTTCAAAAATACATTCTAGCCCTCCATATTCAGGCCGTTTCTCTAACTAACCATTATAACTAACTCGCGAGTCACCAAACAAATATATAACCCCTCCACCCAAGGCTACACTTAAAAATAAAGGTGCTTCACGATGCCATAGAAGAACCTTTTTGTCTAAATGGTTCCATAAAGAACCTTTAACATCTGAAGAACCTTTCTGTTTCACAAAAGGTTCTTTGTGGCAAAAGAAGGCTCTTCAGATTATAAAAAGGTAAGAAAGAGAACCTTTAAGGAACCTTTGACTGAATGGTTCTTTGTGGAACCAAAAATGGTCCTTCTATGGCACCTTTATTTTTAAGAGTGTACATACAATTCTGAAACAACTCCAAAGTCAAAAATATCTGCCTAGAGCGAGCATAGTGATTATGCATGACCCCAAATTACAGGCTCTGTGATACACTGGTCATACCAAAGAGCTGTGAGTAATACAGTAGGACAGGCTCTGTTGAAAGGAGGTTTCTCTCTCTCTCTCTGTGTGTGTGTGTGTAAGCGCTTTCGGCTTTCGGCCAGCCACAGTTTGAGTGAGGGTGTGTTCATGTGTGTTAGTGAGCACTAGCGTGTGCTGGCGTGTGCTTGTTTAGGTCAGGTATTTGAGTCCTGAGGGAAGGCTCTCTAACACACTCAATTGTGAGGGTTGGGTGTGTGTTTGTGCCTTCTGTGTGTGTAGCGCTTTGTTGCCACAAGGAAACCTCCCTGTTGTCTGAAAAGCACCTGTGTAAAGTTGAAGACATTACCTCATTCCGACACATTACAATATCTAATTCCTGCATTCAACAGCCTATTAGCC